GTAAAGAACAAAAAAAAGAAAGAAAGAAAACGATTAATCGATTATTAAATTAGTCATCGATTATTTTAATAATCGATTAGTCGTCGATTAATCGTGGCAGCCCTAGTCTTCGGTGGTGGTGGGTGAAAACTGGGAAAGTAACTATGTACAAATACTTTGTTACTGTACTTAAGTAGAAATTCTGCTTATCTGTACTTTGAGTAATTATTTTTCAGACTACTTTTTACTTCTACTCATTACATTTTCACACAATTATCTGTACTCGCTACTCCTTACATTTTTTAAAGGCAAGAAGTAGAAAGTCGTTATTGTTATTTCATTTTTGCTTGTTTTCATTACGGTTTATTATTGTTAAAAAATAAAAACTATCCWTTTAAATTGCGCCGCAAGTGACACAAATGATGTCACACTCAAGGACATAGCGCATTAGCTAGCTAGCTAGGCAAGTGCATCCTAATTGTTTTAATATTAGTGTTTTACTATGACATTATAGTAGTTTTGACCTTTGGAAAAATGCTTTTAAGAGAGATCACCTGCCAATAAAGGTCATTTAGGAAAACCTAGCCACTCATTTTTTACTCAATACTTTTACTTTTAATACTTACTGTATTTATTCATGTATAATACTAGAAATTTAACCCTAAAAATCATCCATAAAGTAGGGGGGTAGTATTATATACGGGTTATTGATTAGATTTTTTAGTTTTTTTAAGCTCAAAAATGAATATCACATTATACTCGAGATCGTATTATACATGAATAAATACGGTAAGTACATTTTATGTCAGAAATTTACTTTTGATACTTAAGTACAAAAAAATTCAGATACTTTAAGACTTTTACTCAAGTAATATTCTTAGAGACTCTAACTTTACCAAAGTAATTTTATGATAGAATACTTGTACTTTTACTCAAGTATCACTTTGAGATACTTTATCCAACACTTGACATGCCTCTTTTTTTTTAAGTTCCCGAGTGTTTTTAAATTTCATCTCACTCAGGAACTAATGTGTGTTTTTGCTTGTTCTGACCAGTTCTTGAAATCTGAAGTGTGAATTACACAAAATTTGAACTCGAACAGCACCACGTTCGAGTCAGTCACAGCAGCATTGTGCTGTTTCTTGACRTGTGTCTGGCAGGTCTTTGCAGGTCCACACTAGCAGACAGGATGCTCACCTGTCACTGCTCACCTCCACCAATGTGTCAAGATAAAAACTACAGCAAACTGGGCCCGCCACCAAACCTAGAGTAGCTGCCAAGACAAAAATGATTCAGAATTTGTAATTTACCCCTGAACTTAATCATCTTCCGATATGTGGAAACCAAATCCCAAGAGGTGGACAAAAAATAAAAAAATAAAACCAACAAAAAACAACAAATAGGATTTGTGGTATGACTGATTGTTGGAGTCATAGTCTACAGGCCAGGGTAATTATTTGCCTTTCTGTCTGTGTTTGTGTGGTCACAGTGGTCACTGTGATTCATAAAATGAACATGACTTGTGTTTTTTTGGGGGGGCAAACAGTGTTAAATAGCTGTAATGAGCAGTTAAAATAGACAAGAATATGTGAAGATTGTTGCCACATGACACTAACTTTCATGCTTATAATATAAAATGTTTATATTGTGAAATAAACATATATTCTTAAAATATTTCACGTTTCTTGGGTCTCATATAGTGATGAAAATAGTGCACCTACAAATAGTGAAATGCACGTGCTTATTCTTTTTGACGTAAAATCAATGCGCAAAAACAAYGTTAGTTAGCAGATTGCTAGTAAAAACAAAATTTAAACTTAGTTACACACGACGCTTGTCTCACTTACTAGTTGTGTCACTACTAAGACATTCACTTTTAATAATTAAACTGTTATTAATCTATTCGAGCGGCTTTATGAGCACTAAGCTAACAAGATGTTTGAAATCCACACACGTCACAATCATTCTTACCGAAAAAGCATCAAAGAGGAAAAAAGAAAACGGGATTTTCTCACCCTCTTGACCGCGAACTCCAACAGAACAAACGCTAAAAGTGATCCAAAACCCGGTGATAAGAGTCTTCACTACGTTCCCGATGTTTTCGCAGTTTCCAAGCATGATTTCCAGGGCTGTGCGCCAAAAACGTAAGGTGCATACTTCGATGGTCCGAGCTCTTCCTTCAATAAAAACTTCCAGGCACGAAGAGTTAGGTATTTACTATTGGCCACGAGTCGTAAACTCGACTTTCTATTGGTGCTGACGACTGTCAATCAAGAAAATCCAAAGCATTCCATTCCCAGTTTGGGGGCTGTGGACGAGAAGAGGCTGAAGCCGCAGCCGCTGCAAGACACGCCCCCTACACCCCGCGCACCGTAACAAAAGGGAGTGGGCGTGTTTTTGTAGCAAACAAGGGGGTGTTGTGTAGTCAGGGGGCGTGTTTGTGAACTCTATTCTGGTGTACAGGCGTGCTTATCAAAAAAGGCCCAAATGCTGCGTTCAAAAGTCAATATAGGAAAAAAGCTTATTTCTTTTTTAAATTTCTATCTGTGTTCAAACTAAGAGCGAAACCTGCCACCTGCTGGTGAAACACAGGCAACAACAAAAACACAGCTGCTTTGAAACAGCGTGACTAACAAAACAAATCCACGACACTCCTTTGTTTTCTAAAGGACACGAGTTTTCTTGTAATCTTGTTTAATGGTCCTCTTTGACAGTTCTTTCAAAGTTTTACTTTTTAATTTGGCCWGGTACTGGTGACAAGAGTATGTTCTTTTTAAAATTTATATGTTAATAATTCCACTATACTCTGCACGACGTATTTCTTGTTGCTGTAGTAGTTTGTGTAGTAAATAATATCCTAATCTGTGGCAGGCCGTTGTAACATTTAATGATACCACCTTGATGTTTATAATTACCCTACTTTTTAAGACATCAATACCAGAACTTTCTTTAAATCAAAATGACATACAGTCAGTGAATTTAAATATATATTAATAATTTTCCAACTTGTAAAAAATATATGTTTTAAGGCCTCAGTATATTGCTTTAGAAAGCAATATGCTAAAAAAAACTGACAATTCTTCAACCAAAATTAGAATAATTAACATTCACAACCATAAAGGCAAATAAATCCTTGAACTTTGCTTTGGATTTCAAATGATTTTGCAAACTAGATCACAAACTGTTCAACATTCATGTTTACAATGCTATGGAAGCCCATTTCCGCCACCCTGATAAAAAAATAAAACTTGTATCTCATGATTATGACTTAGCTAGCTCATAATTATGACTTAGCTATCTCGAGATAGCTAAGTCATAATTATGAGGTACAAGTTTTATTTATTTTTTATCAGGGTGGCGGAAATGGGCTTCCATACAATGCAGATCTCACAACTCAAGGTTTATTTAAAAGTATGAGCTGCAGCTTTTTCAGTGATCTGCTTTTTTACAGCAACACAGTGGGCCAGGGTCCTTTTAATCTCATTAACAGTATCTATGGAAGCCAAAAAAAATAAACTGTGGGAAGATTTTATTTATTTGTGCATCACCAGATAAAACTACTCATTTGATTTGAACATGAACACATTTCTTATCTTTACTGTGCATCCTCATCTGTGTGCAGCTCTCTACAGGGTGGCATGATGGCTAGTGCTGAGATGTCTTCAGAACAAGTCATGATGGTAAAAAAAAAAGATGAAGAAGAGTTCAGCAGAAACAAGAAGAGGACTCAAGTCATCCTGCAGCATCATGGGTAGTATTTGAAGGCAGCCTGTATGTTCAGTTTACTGTTTGTATGAGCTAAACTGTGTGACAAAAGTCCCTATTGGCACTTTTTGAAAATTTTTGCAACACATTCGTAACCCTCCTGCTACCCTTGGACCAAAATAAAATAATAGACAATGTGGATAAAATAAATTGCAGCTTTTAACCAGATAATAATTTTGTCTGTCGCCCTCTACAGGTTAAATTATGACACTACAGACACTGGATCCACTGATCTCACTGTCAAGACCCACCCAGGAAAGAAAAATCTCTTTATTTTATTTTTACCTATTCTAACAAAATTTAGCATTTAAAACCAACCTAATGAATTAACCCATACAGTGTGAATGTATATTTTTGTGTGTGTTTGTGACGTTTAGATGATTGTAAAGCTGGAGGAGAGGATGCTGAGTGTGGTTACCCCATCRCCTGCGGAGACAGCCGAGCCGTCCTGCTCGTCAGGAAGTTTGTGTGTCCTGGAATCAACGTGAGATGTGTCCGAGTGAGTTCAACAATCATTATTGTAACCAAGAGGTGGCAAATCATTCGTTTGTGTTACGTGAATTAATTTTATTCATTCTTCATCCCAAATAAATAAACAAAACATAATAATAATAATTTTAGTAGTCTTGTATTTGTGCAAACAAGCACCACTGGAGTGAGGTTAAATCACAGTAAAGGCTTGGATCATTTTTCACAAGAACTTTCTATTTTTAAGAGATATTTGTTGTAATTTAAGCTTGAAACAAATGTCTTGGCCCAACTGATTAACTTTTAGAACTGATCTGATTTAAGATGATGAAAATTTGGCGTGGTAGTAGCTGAGAGTTCTCCTCAGTGCTTATAGGAGCATTAAAAGCTCGTGCAGTGTCGTTATTGACATCTTCGGCGTGCGAGGTAACGGGCTAAACGTTTTCCCTAGTTTCTTTTTGAGTTGAACTTAAAAGTGTCTCCCAGGAGGGCTAGAAATATTCCCTTTTATTCCCAGCAGCCTCTGTGTTATTGATTGTTTACATGACATAAATTGCCATGTCTGTTTTTGTTCACAGTTTAATGAGCAGCTCATTAGTCCCAAGCAGTTCGTAAACTTGGCTGGGAAAGCCACTCTGAAGGACTGGAAGAGGGCCATCGGGCTGGGAGGGGTCATGCTCAAGTAGGTGAATAAAAACTCCGCAGAAACAAAWATCTGTCCAAGTGTGAAGGAACATTAGCCTCACTTAATTCTGTCATGTCAGGTTTACRTCTCGTACTTTGCGAACGTACGGCACTTTTTTTCTTTCAAGTACCGTATTTTCCTACAGTGTGTGTTTGCCACTGCATTCCAGCGGCGGTGGGTAATCAGAGCTATGATGATAGATGAATGTAAGCTGCCAAGTCAGGCTTCTCACTTCTTCATCCTGTTTGCGCTCACTGCTGGTGTTACGGCGAGGCAGCGCTCACAATTCAACAGGCCGTGTCTGATCTTATCATCTGCGCTCCTCCTGAGGCCCCGATTGACGAGCTYCATGTCTAACCAACTACTGTGAAGCATACACACACATACACAAAAAAAGATTCTCATACATTTTGCTGTTTTTTTTAAAACCCACCCATCCCCTTGCAGGAAGATGATGGACTCCGGCCAGATAGACTTCTACCAGCACGACTCCGTGTGCAGCAACACCTGCCGCAGCACTAAATCTGATGTGCTGATCAGYGGCCCGCTGCCTCCTCCAGGGATCTCGGTGCAGCCGGGCCTGTCGTGTCTGGCTCCAGACCCTGCTGGAGGACGAGCGCTTCCTCTGACAGGTACATTTCAGCTGGCATTTCCAGTTCACTGTTTGTTTTTTTTTTCTTCTCTCCTACATCTGTCTGAACTGCTGTTGTATCAAAAAGATGCCAAATTAAGAATTTTAGAAGAGGCTCGATGAAATCTTGTTGCAAAAAAAAACAACAAACAAAATAAACAGTTTGAAACCAAACGAAACTGAACATTTATGTGAAATGCAAGACTTTAGAGTTTTTGATAAAATGCAACGTGAATACTTTGTTCTGAAAAACTGCTAAAATAAATAAATAAATGATAAAACTAAAGCTGAGTTGTTAAAGCTAAAGAAACTGAGCACTATGTCTAAAAATCAAAAACACCGGTTTGATGCTAAATAAAGTGAGGTGTGAATACCACGTCTTCTGGTTCTGCAGAATTGCTGCTGCTCAATGAAGAGAGAAACTCTGAAACAGGCTGGTTGAACAGCAAGAATCTTTATTTTGCAGTCCAGGAGATTACAGCCAAAAACCAAATTGTGGCCTCCAAGCCAAATGGTTCACCAAGTAAGAAAGATGAAGAATGAAGGCCAAGGGTGGGGGGCATACAAGCCTCTTTATGGTGTAGTCCAACAGATGTACCATAAATTTTGTCACRGTATACCTTAAACATTCCTTCCCTAATATGGTAATATGTGCCGAGCTCTGAAGCTGGAGAACTAAGAGAGGCATAACACATCTGTGCATTCCTGAGAAGAGGCCCCCACTCTTAGACACTACAAARGCAAGACACTAGCTAAAAGCTACAAATAGCAAAATGGCACCTAGAAGCACTAAATAGAAAACGGCTTGGAGCAACAAAATATCCACTAATGACTGAAAGTAGCTGAATGCTAGCTAAAGCTCAAGTACTAAATGGCTAACTAAAACTTAAAAGTAGCGACAGGGTAACTAAAGTATCAAAAGCCTAATTAGAAGCTAAATACAACAAAAGGCCGGCTAAAACCTAAGTGTAGCAAAAGGCTAGATRTAATCTAAAAGTAGCCAAAGGCTATTTGAAAACTGCAAATAACACAATGGTAGCTAGATGTTTAGAAAATGACTAGCTGAAAGTAGCAAAAGTCTAATTAATTGTAGCTAAAAGCTCAAGTGGAAAATAACTAACTAAAACTTAAAAGTAGCAACAGAATTACCAAAAAGTAACAAAAGCCCAATTAGAAGCTAAAAGCAAAAAAATCGACTGGCTAAAACCTAAATGCAAAATGGTAGATATAAGCTAAAAGTAGCCAAAGATTACTTGAAAACTACAATTAAGAAAATGGTAGCTAGAAGTTTTAAGTTGTAAATGGCTAGATAAAAGTAGCAAAAGTGTTGCTAAATGTAGCAAAAAGCTAACTAAAGGCTCAGGCAGCAAAATGCTATTTAAATGCTTAAAGTAGCAGGGCGATTTTCAGTAAAATAAGAAAACAATAATAGAAGAAGTTTGAAGCAGATTTTAGGAATTTATGTGATTTCTGTGCATTTCTGTGGAGAAATTATAATTAAAATAAATAATATACTTATAAATAAAGTGAAATGGTTTTTAAGTAGTTTTTTTGAAATTTAAAAGTTCAAAAAAACCAAAGCCATGGCACTTGTGTTCTGAATGAGTGACTGTTTTTATAGGAATGACTTAAAATGGCACAAAGTGTGCAGAAGTAAAAAAGTAAAAATGTGTATGAAAACAAAAAACAAATAAAAACAGGAAACAGACGCGAGTTCTAATAAAGACTTCACACAAATAACAAACCTTTTTTTATTGTTGTTTTTGGAAATCTTTCTTGTTTCTTGTCTGTGTTAACATGACAGTTTYCTACTATTTGATGGATGTATTGGCTGTTTCCATTTCCACAGAAATGCATAATGTGGGGGAAGGAAATGAGTCTTCTGAGGATTCATTCAGAGCAACATCAGAGAGCACTAATAGTCCACAGAAACTTGGAAACCCCACAACAGCCAACAGATTCTGTCAGGATAAAAAAAAGCTGACATGCCTGGTAAGTAAAAGAGTGGAGACAATTCATGGGTGAAAAATCTGCCCTCAATCAAAGTTTAAAAACAGCTAAACAGACATGGAATAWTCTGTTGATGGATTTTTTCTTGTTCTGCTGTTTAAGATGACACCTCAGGTTCTGTGTTGTGTATAAAAGTTTGTAATTCTGCATAAATTGATGATAGGCAGTTTTTGTTCTGTCTCCTGCTACCTCACTGTAAAAAAACTTGTACATTATGTTGCCAGAATTTCACCATAAATAATATGATGTGTATAACTTACATTTTTTAGAAATTATATATATCCCAGTTGAAAACTCTTGTTTATTATGATAAATCAATGTATTAATACATGTATGCATTTTAAATCTGTTAATGGCAACTTACCTTAAATTGATAGTTCAGATCTTCTCTGCAGAAAAGCAGACAGTTATCATAATTTAAGTAGCTGTCTACAACAGGTAAGAACCTGTTGAGAAAAAGAAATGAATTTTAATTAATTAATTTTGACTGGATTGATGAATAAACAGTTTAGTTAGAGAGGTGCTTGGTCAGCACTTTTCTGCGTAAATGAATGACCAAAAACTATAAAAAGGCTAGAATACATTTTCAGCAAATGTTCAAGCATTTCTTTAAAGTACAGATAAAACAAATATGGGACAATAGGTATTTTTAAAAACTGCTGAGCYATAGAATAAAAGTCAGGTAAATATAAATAATAGGATGGAATAACTAACTTTGCAAATTGCAGTGGATGTACAAGAATGATTCAATTTTAAATCTAGAAAGAGTGAAAAGATTCACTTTTATTTATGATATACCATACAGCATTTTCATAACAACTGAAGGCAACTTGATTGTGATATAAAATTGAACTATGTTCCTGGAAAATACATAATATCCCCCCTTAAGAGACCATTTCCTATAGCTTCCATAAAGGACTCCCACAAGTTTTTTAATCCATATCGAATGTCTCACCYCTTCCCACCACAAAGGTTTGACCCCTCAGATGCAGCAAATCCACAAACCTTTGAATCAGCAGGTTAGAGGAAGTTCCTGCAGACTGTCCTCAAAAAAGTTGCTGACCTGCAGTCACGTCTGTTTATACRGCCGACGACAGCAGCTGACATTTCCAGGTGTGACTGTTTGGAGCCGAGGTCGGAGCTTTGATTTAAGGGCTTTCAAAGGTGACCTGATTAGGCTTTGTTCCAGGAGGACCTCGGTCAGGAAAACTGCCTGTGGGGATCCAGTGAAGAGCAGATTGTGGCTCCTTGCTGACCATGCTGTTTTACTTGTCATTAGGATTGGAACAGGTTGACAAATTCTTAGCAAAAGGGCTACAATTACTCTGCTCTTCAGTTTTATTACACTKTACAAAAATAAACAAATAAATAAACAAATAAATAAAGAAATAAAGAAATAAATAACAATACCTGCAAAGGGCATTATTCAGGCAGCAGGGGCCATAAACAAAAAAATGTCAAAACAATGGAAAATAAGTGTGTTGTAAAAATACAGAAATTTTCATAATTAAAACAAATTTTGGGTTTAGTTTTACATGCACCCCCCTTCCATTTTATTAAATACAGGATCCTGTTGTAGTACAATATATAAAATATACAAATGTACAAAAATCCATCCATCACTTTTATTCTTTTGATTTGATTTGATTTATTGATTTAACAGGAAAAGATTACTAAAAAAATCAAGCCTGACTCAGCATAATTGCTGTTTTACAGCAGGTTCCTGTTCTGCAGCACATAAAACACTCAGAAATACAGCATCACAATCACAT